GGCCCCAGGCAGGCTCGGGAGCAGCCACAGGACTGGCAGCAGCGCCATGTCCGGCCAGGAGGTGGGGGACGCCACGCCCTCTTAACCTGGGGGGTGCCCATTCCCCGCCCGTCACGGCCCCTGGGCAGTTTCAGCTGCAGCCGCCTGGGCCCCCGGCGCCCCCGGAGCTGGTACCTGTCCACGGGTCGGCCGCGCTGAGGTAGGACAGGAGCCCGCAGCACAGCAGGAAGGCCAGGGCGGAGAGGATCGCGTTCCTCTGGAGCCGGGACAGCTGCTTCCATGCCTGCGGCAGGGGCGGAGGGGCACCTTTACTGGGACTCACACACGGGCCCCGGCCCCCAGGAGAGCTCGCCCAGACCCTCCCCGGTCTCAGAAGCGCCGGGCGGACGGCTTTTCCAAATTCCGCCGTCAGGCCGCGGACAGACAACGCGAAGCCGCGGGACAGGACGTGACGTGTGACACCGAGGTCCCCGCTGCGGGATTTTGTGGATTAAACTCTCGTGTGTGCTCGCAGCTGCGTGCCGCTGGGTCCGGTGTGACTTCCTTCCGTCCGGCCACGGCCTCTGAGCCTGTGACCTGACGGTGGCTCAGCCAGCCGGCCCCTGGCTGATGTAACAGGCAATTGTCAGAAATGAAACGATGGTTACTCTTTGTCGTGGGTCTTGAAGCCACGGCCCCAGATTTGAGCGCAGGCAGCGAAAACAGGTCCCAGCACACAGCTGGTCTGTTAGAGAGGAGCGGGCTTCCTCCCCTTTAAAGTCTCCACACGTTTCACTCATCTCAGAGAGGAAGGCAGAGCGGGAGGGAGGGAAACGTCAACCATGAGGGAGAATCATGGATCAGCGGCCTCCTGCACGCCCCTACTAGGGGTCGAGGTGCAACCCGGGCAGGAGCCCCGACCGGGAATGGAGCCCTGACCTCCAGGTTCCTCGGCCGTCGCTCACCCACTGAGCCGCGCCGGCCGGGCCCGTTGCACTTCCTTTGTCTTCCGAGCACGTGAGGCGCACGCAGTGGCCAAAGGCCCTCATTTTGGGCCAGATGAGTTGGGCCTAACGCTTCCGCTGCTGCAGCCCCAGCCCTTAGGGCTGCGCCCGGCACACAGTAGGTGCTCAGGAAATGTCTGTGGCGTGAATGAAAGGTGGCGGGTCTTGTCCCCGTGGGATGTGTGGGGACCCTGTGAAGCTGGGAGAATGGCCGCCCGGGAAAAGGGGAGCTGGAAAGGCAGGGAAGAAATCCAA